TTTTTTTTAATATAATATAATTTTGGGAGATTCTACAGTACTCGTTACGGAACCATTCTGTCGGGGTTTGTAACCGTTAGATCAACTATACACGACGATTACATGATGATCTAATGTTACAAGTCCCGACGGAATAGTTCCGTAATGGGACTATAACATTTCCCTATAGTTTTTATACTTATTCAACTTTCATATATCACTAGTACAACACCCGTGTATTACACGGGTGCTTGTTAAAAAATTATTTTTAAATTTTAAAATTAATGAGAAAATTATATTAAATTTAGTTTACTTTTTTACAAAAAAAAAAAATATATTACTATATCTTTTAGAATGATATGTGTTACTTATGACTTACATGTGTTATATTATATTAATTTTTATAACTTATATCATATAACTACTTGAAATATAAATATATTAAATAATTTTATTTTTCTAACTAATATTAAAAATAATTTTATTATTGTTATAAAGATAAATATAAATTATTTTTTTTTATACATACAATATAGATGTTAAATCGAAAAGAAGATTAATTTGATATATTACATATGTAAAACTGATAAAAAATACAAAAGTTATTAACTTTTAAAATATATATACAGTTCAATAGTTATAATAAGGAATGATATTAGTAACATGATCATAAATAATCAACATATTTATGGTAATCCGAACCTAATTATTTTTTGTTTGGAATTAAATTAAAATTTACCCAAGCCTAATAACGAAGCATGTAATTTTGTCACATAGGATTCCGAAGCACCAGAAGCAGCCACGTAGGCTCAGCGCATTCTGTATTAATATATATGAGGAATATAACTACTTGAAATATAAATATATTAGTTGATAAATAATTTTATTTTTCTAATTAATATTAAAAATAATTTTATTATTGTTATAAAGATAAATATAAATTATTTTTTATACATGCAATATGGATGTTAAATCGAAGCTCATCAAAAGAAGATTAATGTGATATATTACATATGTAAAACTGATAAAAAGTACAAAAGTTATTAACTTTTCAAATATATATACAGTTCAATAGTTATAATGAGGAATGATATTAAAATACAATTAATACATGTAACATGATCATAAATAATCAATATATTTATGGTAATCCAAACCTAATTATTTTTTGTTTAGAATTAAATTAAAATTTACCCAAGCCTAATAACAAAGCATGTAATTTTGCCACATAGGATTCCGAAACACCAGAAGCAGCCACGTAGGCTCAGTGCATTCTGTATTAATATATAGGGTGGATTTAGTGTGAATTATAATTGGTTAGTTTTAGTGATAACTAGTATATAATAGAATAACTAAACGCAAGATTACACTTTAATTAACCATATTATATTAGAAAAAGTAATTGATTAAGTTTTAGTTAGTGGTTTTAAAAAAACATTATTGGATTGTAATGAAAAAGGGTGGAAAATCAAAATATTTTGTTAGCAATTATACATACATATGTATATATATATACACTACAAAAAAAACTCTTACATTCCAACGGAAAATTTTCGTTGAAATTTTTTATATTTCCGTTGGAATAGCTATTCCAACGGATATTTCTACGTATAAAAATCTGTTGGAAAATGGCCGTTGGAATAGCAAATATCCAACGGAAAATCCTATGGAAATAAATTCCTACAGCTATTTCAACGGAAAATTTTCGTTGGAATTTTTTATATTTCCGTTGGAATAGCTATTCCAACGGATATTCCTACGTATAAAAATCCGTTGGAAAAATGGCCGTTGGAATAGCAAATATCCAACGAAAAATCCTATGAAAATAAATTTCTACAGCTATTCCAACGGAAAAAATTCGTTGGAATTCCTCAACTATCCAACAGTTATTCCAACATAAAATTAAGTTTGTTGGAATATTCATTGGAATTTCCAACAGAAATTTTTACCGTTAGAATTATAGTATTTTTTTTGTAGTGATATATTAAATATTCGTACTATTATATAGAGTGTTATATTTTATGAACAATCTACGATGCGTACTAATTTTTAATTATCTTTCTCTCACTTTTTAAATTTTTAATTTGTCTTACTCATGATTTCGTTAGCAGTGGATTACCAGTAAATTTTATTCATATACCACTAAATATTAAAAATTATTAAGTGGAAAATCTAAGTGTGTACATGTTTTTATCATCAATAAGTAGTACTCTTTTTAACTGAACTAATGTTCATATACTTAATTAGAACAGACACAGAATTTTTTAATTTTTTTAATAATTGCAAGGTGTTGTTTATATTACATGAACTTATTTACCCGATTAAAAAATATTTATTTTATTATTATTTATATTTCTACTATATTTTAATTTTTAGACCATTTAATAAATATTTCAAATATAAGTTATTTTATTTCATAAATAATAATAAATTCAACATAATTAAGAATGATAAAGTGTATTTATCATGTATGTTAGCATCTAATTAAAACTACCTAACTTTGTCAAACTCTAGTTTACAAACCGCTAATATAATTAGCTACTCAAAACGGCAACGCAATTTACTGGTCAAAATAACTGATGCAATCCGCTAAAAAGTAACACTACAAAAAAACACTAAAATTCCAACAGTAAAAATTTTCGTTGGAAATTTCAATGAATATTCCAACAAACTTAATTTTATGTTGGAATAAGTGTTGGATAGTTGAGAAATTCCAACGGATTTTATCCGTTAAAATAGCTGTAGGAATTTATTTTCATAGGATATTCCGTTGGATACTTGCTATTCCAACGATCGTTTTTCCAATGGATTTTTATACGTAGGAATATCCGTTGGAATAGCTATTCCAACGAAAATATAAAAAATTCCAACAGAAAATTTCCGTTAGAATGTAAGAGTTTTTTTTGTAGTGTAACGATTATCGAACAAAGCCACATGTGGTCCGAGGCTTTCAATTTTTGGCATATGCATGTGATACGAGGCTAACAATTGCACGTAGATATATGTGGCTAGTAATTGTTCAAAGGCGCGTAAACATGATATTCAAGCACATTAATTTATTGTTTAACACATGGCATAAAAATAAACATGGAATAGAAGCGAGAGCAGATAAGTAAATTGTGTAACACGTGGCGGCCATTCAGTTAGTACACAAGACGAGATAATAAGGGGGTGATTGTTTAATGTTTGAATAGTAAAAAATGTAGAATTTTTTAATTATGTTTAAGTTTAAGAAAAAGTGGTATGGTTAGTTGTTAGTGGATATATTATGGGGGTGTCTATATGTACACCTCCTTGTGTGTAAAAAAGGGGTGTACATATAGCATTGCCCTTTGTGTAATTTATTAAAAAGGGGTGTACATATAGCATTGCCCTATATTAAAATAGTATTTAAAATAAAATTGTTAAAATTGATTTGATGTAAAAGTAAGAGAAAATGATTGGAAGTGATAGTTAGTTAAAATTAGTTAAAATTATGTGAGTATATGAATAGTGAATTAAAGTTGATGTGATATGTAATAATGATTTGTTGATGTTATTTAATTATATAATAATATTGGAGATAGTGGGGTTGAGTTAAAGTTGAGTTAAATTTGAGTTTGAGTAAAAAAAATTACTGTACAACTAATAAACAATCACCCCCTAAATGGCCCAACTTTGCTGGTCCATTTTGGGGGAATACGGAGATACCACAGTCCATGCGGATTTGGGCCACACATCCCACATAGATCATGTTAGGCGGCGTCTAGACGCTCCTAGGCGGGTTTGGTGAGATCGACGACCAGGCGGCTTGGCGGCGCCAAGGCACGCTTAGGCGGACCTAGGCGCCACCTACAGGCTCCTAAGCGGGCTCGACAGAAATTTTTTATTTTTTTTAGTTTTTGAAATACTAATTACATTATTTTGTTATCATGTTTTCTTTCTAATATACTAATTTATTATTTCGATTTATGTGTTGATTTATTATAAGTTGAGATAGTTTTATTTGTGAATAGTGAAAATATATATAAAAAAAAAGGTATTTAGTTTTAAATTTTTAGGCCCCCTCTAAGAGCGCTAGGCGCTGGTCGAGCGCTTAGCGATTTCTAGAACACTGATTATATATCTAATATGTGAGAAATAATAAATTCACTTGATGACCACCTAAGTACATGACATCTCTAATAAGATCTTCTTAGCGGTTATATAAACACATTAGCATGCAACAACTACGAAAGTAGTTTTATTTTGTAACAATAAAATCTCATTATCATTGCAAATGTTATTTTTTTTCAAATCAATCATGTAAAATATGTTTGAGCTAGGAAAATAGTTACGTATTGTAGCAAAATTCTCATTGTCATTGCAATGTTTCTGATAGGGATATTAGTACCTATTCGACTCAATCGGATAAGGACACATAAAATCGAGGTCGAAGGGATCATGGGATTGAGCCAGGGTCGAAGAGGGCCGGAGAATTGACCGGCTCATAGGGTCTATGTTCGGAGGGTCGAATACATAGGCCCTTGGCCTGGAGAGTAGAACGCATAGACCCTTGGCTTGGAAGGTAGAACACATAGACCATTGGCCCGGAGGGTAGAATACATAGATCCATGGACCGGAGGGTAGAACACATAGACCCTTGGTCCTGAGGGCCAAATACCTGGACTCTTGGCCCGAAGGGTCGAATACATAGACTCATGGCCCAGAGGGTCGAACACATAGACCCAGGGCCCGGAGGGTAGAACACATAGACCCTTGCCTCGAAGGGTCGAACACATAAACCCTTGGCCGGAGGATAGAATATAGACCCATTTCCTAGTGGGTAGAACACATACACCCAGAGCCCGGAGGTAGAACACATACACCCTTGTCTCGGAGGGTCGAACACATAGACGCTCGGATGGTAGAATACAGAGACTCACGGCCCGGAGGGTACAACAAATAGACACTTATTCCGGAGGGTCGAATACATAGACCTTAGCCTGGAGGGTTGATTGTTGAACACATCTTGTAACACCCCGCCTAAGACTTACTAAAATCAGAGTAAATTTTTCGCGCTATAAAAGGAAAACACTTATTTAATTTTCGAAAACTCATATTATTTTTTCGAAAATACTTTAACTTTAAAACGCGGGATGCTACTCAACTTTAATCTTATATCTTTATCACTATAATCTATCATGCATGCGACCAGGTAAAATCATTCTAGAATTAAGGCCATGAATAATACCGGCTAAAACATGCATATTCTGAAAATCTGACATAATCTAACATCTGACATAATAGTCTGAAATCTGACATCTGAAACACAAGTCTAACATGCGGAAGCAAGTACAAGTTCAGAAAAGCACACAAGCATAAAACAAACATAGATAATTCGAACATGTTCAAATACTATATGACATGTTTTCACAAAAATGTCCTGAAGCTGGACCAACACCACATAACTGCTCACGCTCCACGCGGGACTCCATCACCTGAAAAATAGGGTAGTGGCGAGGCGTGAGCACAAAGGAATCAACGGTGCTCCGCCGGAACCGGCACTGAATACTCAGCACAATTAATAATAATCTATGGAATCAACATATATATGAATAAATTGGTCTGGCTATGGGACTAACGGTAAACCGGTACTCATGTGCACACTCTGGGGGTCCCCTCCCACCGAAATCCAGGAAAGGCACTAATCACCCCATCTGGACGCTAGACTTAGGACGGGCCCTAATCACACACATC